ACGAAACGTAATTTCACAAGTGACATCACTCTTTTTTACGCCGCGTTCCATCATTAATTTCCGCGACCGCGATTCTCACAACTATGATTCAAAGACATTTTTTTTTGGAACATACTGGATGAGCTCATTAAATTGGAATTTTTTGTTTTGCTCGTTAAATTGGAATTTTTATTTTTTTTTTCTTTTCTTTTTTTTTTTACAATCGAATTTGTAAATAGAAAAGTAATAGATGGAATAATTTGTTAATTTTTGTTATAAGTGTTTGAGGATTGTTGAATAATTACCATTGACGATCACTCTCAATGTGGCGAGGACAGAGATGGATTGCAGAAGATTAGATATATTGGCTTTCTTCATTTTTAGTTACTAAACTCGGTATCAAGTAGTCATCCCAACGATTACACCCTAAAATCATTAATAAATCAAAGATACTTACTTAGAATTAATCTTATAATTTTCAATTCAATAAAAATAATTTTTGCTATGTAGACAAAAATATTATAATATAATTTTGTAAAATTTCTTTACACCAAAATCTCAATAATTCGTATAATTAACATATTCCTAATTTTCCTTTTTTCAGAACAAAATCCACATTACGGGATAACAATAATCGAAAAGATACCAGGCAACTAATAATGTAATGCTCGAAAGTTGGAAGCACGGTTGGTTGGGTTTACGGGCGTGTGCCCCTTGCCGCGTACACGCGAGTAATCGTAGAAAAGGTTGATGGGGGTGCGAGAGTGTGGAGGTGTTCAGGGTGAGTGCAGCTCAGGAATTCCATAAAACCTTCTAGTGTCTCTGTGCGCTTTGAATAGATGTATCGAAACATCCAGGTGAAAATGTGTCTTCTGTAACACGAGCCACGCTTACCTTTTCATAAGGCGAGATATTTTATACGGGAAATATCTTCGATTCACTCGCGTACTAATACTGAAAGAAGCTTTTTGTCTTTGATAAGATATCAGGACATAATGTCATCATGTAAGAAAGATGATGATCTTTTAAAAGGAGAGATGATTTGATATTTAATTCTTTTAATTCAAATTTCTATTATAAAATAAAAGAATAAAAAATTTAGGTATTTTATTTTGGTAATTTATGACATTGAGACGAAAAAAAGAAAAAAAAAAGAATTAAAAGCATCGTAAAATTCAAGCACTCAAATTAGAATTCAGTTTAAAAAAAGATAAATTTGCAAAAAATATTCAGTAATACAATTGAATTATACAGTATACCTCAATTAAGAAAATTTCTTATTCTAATATTTTATTCTGTTAACTAAAATCTATAATTTTCAGCAATAGTAAATTATTATTCGTGTATATCTGCAAATGAAATACTATAATGTATAAATTGCCAACCGCGGTGCACGTGTTTCTCCATTAAATGTACCAAACTTTGCACATGCACCGCACAGAAACAGTACTTATTAATTATGTTACGGTTTATCACCTCCATAATTATAGTTCTCTGTCCAAAGAGAATGGATGCTCGTTCAGTGGTTATAGTGGTCGATGAGAGAAAATTATAGATTCGAGCCATTCATATGTAGATTGTAATATCACGTTGAAATAATATCGTTATAAATTGAATTTCGCGCAATCGTATTCATGTTTTAACAAACGTATAATACTCCTATTATTATTATAATAAAAGTTTGAAACACGAAACGTTTATTGAAAACGTTTATTGATTAATTATAATTATAAATAAATTAATTAATTTATTAAACACGTATTATTCAATTTCTTCTTTATTAAATTTGCTACTTTATTAAAAAATGAATATGTATTAATGTGCATTTGTTATAGAATAAAATAATATTGCATAGAAATGTATTTTTTAAAAGTAATCTCATTAAAAACTACAAAACAGAGATTTTATCGCGATACCTTGAATAATAGATGATACGCAGATAACATTGTTGCGTGAGTGAAACAATATTCCTCAATTTGCGATATTAATTCTCATAGGATGTTGGATATTATAATTTCATTGTTGATTTTGTTGGGTTTTTTTGGAAATAATCAATTTTTAATGTAACTAAAATGTTTGAAAATTGATCCACACAAATATGTAAATTTTTTATTTACTCTTTCATTTTTAAATTTTAAAAGTTTTATTATTGAATCTCGTTCTTTAATTAAATTTACTAATTCTATCTCAACTTTTGACTAAAATTTTCATATTCTTTTTTTCAGATCTCAGGACTTTTAGATTTCAAAATTCAATGAGCACTGGTAAATCCTATATATTGTCTAAAATTTTAACTCAAGTTTTCAATTAAAAACTTCTTGTTTTTTTTCTGGAATCTTTAGACCCCGATCTTAAATAAACCACAATCTTCAATCAAAGAATATCAATATTATACTTACCCAGAGCAACAATAAATTTCACGTGTCCACTTCAAGAGCAAACCGTATCGCGCAAGAATAATTTCCTTCTAATCTCCGAAGACGTCTCTGATCTCAACTACAAAACAGACAAAACCGGTAATAAAATGCATCTGAACGCGTCCATCCAACGCGAATGGCACCTGTAATCAAACTGACGGTCAAAATCAGTGCAAACCGTGGAAATAATGGATAACACCTGACCGGTCGCGGAGAGGAAGGGACGGCATAGGAAGAATTGTTTCGATGAATGATTCTCTGGGCATAGACGATCCATAGGGGGCAGAATAGTGGAGGAGAGATAACACACAGGTGGTACACAGGCGCGGTGGGATCCCCACGTCCGATTTCTGGCCTTGTGCTCACCGGAAGCGGTTCCATTGTGTCCGGTTTCCGTGGGGCCATCCGGGAAAACGTTCGACGTGCGTGTAAACGGCAGACCCGTAGGTTCTCAAGCATCGTCATATCGTTATTCCACGAGATATTACCACTATTTTCTCATTTATATGAAATTAAAGAGGATATTCTGAATATTATGAAATAAATCTTTAAGGGGATGAATAAGTATCTTCTATTTTGTATTTTGTAATTTTTAAATTTTAGGATTTATATGATCGACAAGTGGAATTATGACGTTATTCTGTAAGATAGCATTTTTACTTTCTTTTATTTCTTCATTTATTTTATTTTTATTATTAATAAAAATATTTTCGGATTATTATAAAAATAGATCTTAGGGGATGAAGAAGTATTTTCTATTTTATATTTTGAGTTTTAAGATTTGAGCTTAAGATTTATATGATTGTGGAAGTATTCTAAATAGTGTATTCGTAAATGGACGACTCTCCAGAGTCCTATGGTTTTTTGTTTGAGAATCGATGCACTGGAGCATCGCTATGTCGGGTTGATTGTGTCGATGGACGATCGCTCGGTCGTTCATAGCGGAATCATGGATTAGAGATTTCTACCTGAGGTCAACTAGGATGAATAACGAGCTGGGATACGTGATTTTCGTGATCTGTCCACGCGGAGAGATTCGTTTGTTCTTTATTACTTCGCTATTTTTAGTCTGATTTTATTTTCATTCAAATCATATCAAGAGCACAAAGAAAATAATTTGTTTTCCATGATTTTTAGATTGGTTTCCAACGGCAATAGTAATTTTATTTAATTTTGTTGGTTAAATTAACTCCAATTAATTTTTGTAATAGCTAAATTAGAAATTATTTTTTTGTGAAATTAGATAGCTTATAATTATGTATTTGTTATAAAATACATTTAATTGCATTGGAATTATAGAATATAGTTATAAAAAACTATGAATAGATAATTTATATTGATAACAATATGCATGAATGATATAATCTATCCTGGTGGTTTTTCCTAAGTGCAATTGTATTTTTTTCATAATTAAGACGTAATAAGAATTTTTTTGTTTATAATGAAAAACAGTAAAATGAAAAATATTATTACGGTAGGTATTAATTCTTTACGATATTATTTTTATAATACACGAATTATTTCTTCATTCATATTTCTTTCCAGTTCATATTTATTATTTATTATATTTTATTTTATTTTATTATATTTTATTTATGTTAATTAAACAATTATTAAACATTTTTTTATTTCGTTATGAATATTATCTTTTTAAAATATAAGAAAATAATTTTTTTACTAACATAACATTATATCAGTAAGACTTTTCAATAAAATGTATAATAGTAAATATTTAAATTTGCCGCGCTTCGCGCACAGTAATGGTTGATCGCATCCCATTGGTGGAATCATTTTATTCTCTCTTCGTAAGTAGAAGACCTGTCAAGTACTCGATAGTTTGGCATAGTCAGCTGATGGCAAAATGCAATTAAACGTTTCCTGTAATATTTCACGAAATCTATTGTAATTTTGTGCGCGATCGTGAAATTTGTTGAGAATAATCTGTTCATAATCTACTAATCTTCTATTTCAAGTTTTCAGAGAAATATAGGTGAGAGAAATCGTAGTTATATTAATATTTAAAAGTTATGTAGTCATGTATTGATTTACGATAAATTCATGATACAGCTAATATTAACAATAGTTAATATAATATCATGGAATTCTCCATTTTAATTATTAAGTTGGATAAAAAAGATCATAAATTTTAGTCATTTCTTTTCGATGCTTGTCTGTTATAGAGGTTAAGATATATTTTATTTTTATAATTTTAATTTATTAAATAAAAAATATAGAATATATAAAATATAAAATATAAATAATATATTATGCATACATATGTATTTAGAATATATATTTCTTTTTTACAGAAGGATTCATAAGATTTTTTATAATTATTTACCTGAAGCAAATCTACCAAAAACAAAATGCCTCTAAGTGCAGGTAATTAAATATATTATAATTTAGAATTTATAATTTAAAATCAATTTTTATTCTTTTCACATAAAAAATTTATTTTTTTTATATTAATTCATGTTTTAATATTATTTTTTTCAGATATATCTACAGCTCTTCATTTATTAGAGCATGTGCAAGAAAGAGTAGAAGACTGTAATGATCCAAAGCTACAAATGCATACTACTCAAGATATAAAATCTTTAATTTCTCTTCTGGAAGATCCAGTATTTCGTAGTATAGTGACCATTCAAGATTCTCTGATCGAATTAAATACTCAACTAGGCCAACATCCATCTATTATCCCTGGGGATTTTGATATAAACATCAGTGGACAACTTGAACTTTCTGTTCCTAGTACACCGGTACAACCACTTGGATCAAATGTATATCAAGATCTATATCAAGATAGCAGCGAACTAGAAGATCAAAGAGTTCCAGTTGTTCCATTGGTGCATAGTAGCAGCGAAGATACTAGTGCACAGGTAAAATTTTGTTTAAAGTACACCTAAAATGAATACCTGAATTTATTTTATATTTAATACTATATTTTTATTTTGTTATAGGTTACAAGTCCAAGTCTTGTATCGGAAGTTATGGGAATGCCTCCAATTACAACAACAACATATGTTAAAGAATTTAAGAAGGTAATTGAAGCTGCAGCAAGAGGTCGTCAAGTGTTTACTGTGCAGGTTGGTAAAATATATTTTGTTTATATTTTAATTCAACAATCAAAGAGAGAGAGATTTAATACAATAATTTTTTTTTAAAGTTGTATAAACCAGAGGGTACTAGTTTGGGATTTAGTGTGGTTGGTCTTCGCAGTAAGGATAAAGGAGAGTTGGGTATATTCTTGCAGGAGATACAACCAAATGGCATAGCTGGTTGGTAAGTCAATTTTTAATTCATATAATGTAATCAATTATTAAATAACAACAAGAATTATTTCAATTATTTAATTAAAATATCCGTAAATAATATCAAATAGTCTCAATAGAAACTTTTTTTATTTTCGCGATATATATTTCCGAATAGTAATTTGAATTGCATTTAGATATATTAAACATCGAATTTTTCTATGCTTATATAATAAATATAATATATTACTATTTACTAAATAGATGATATCATAGTACGTAGATTATATAAGCAGTGATGGGATCTCGTACAATATTTCGTAATATGATCCTATAATTTATTATTATTATAATTTATTATTATTTATTTTTTTTATTAACTTATAATTTTAACAAATCATCAAAATTTTCACTACTAACCAAAAATATTTAATAATAATTCAATAATCAGTTCCTAGTTAAGTTCTTTAATTCTTACATTTCAATATATATCAATATCAAAAAATTTAGAATCATTATAATTATTATAATTTATAGAACTTTCAATATTTAAAGGAAATATTTATTATATTTTTCTTTTTGACTATTTTTTCTTAAATTCACAATCTAAATATAAAACAATTTCATAATATATTCAAAATAGATCAAGAATCTAAAATGTTCTTAAAGTTTGAATAACTCTTTTCCAAATTTTAATTAAAGTTTTCAAGTAAATGACTAAATCCTGTAAATTTAAATTTTATGTCATGATGAGGATTCTAATCATCTCTCATCAAATGATTCTAAACTTTTAAATGATATTGTATATCGTTCAAAAATTAATCATTCCATATCATAAAAGAGGAAGAGATAATTCTATACTTTCAAGTATATTCAAATATTCAGTTTCGTTAAAACACATAAATGTAGTTAGATTATTCGATATTCGTGCCGAACAGCGAATATTATTCCGGTACCAGTCGATAAATTAATGCGAATCAAGCCATGAATATTCGTTTGTTTTATGCCACGTAAGCTCGACGTATATAGAGAATATGAATATCGACATCGAAGGACGGACGTGTGGAGATAACGTTTGTCGAATAATCGTATGTGAATATTTGTAAAAAAAAAAAATCGAATATTTGACACGTTTTATTTAATGTGGGTCATCGATGATCCATAAGTCTATTAATAAATATTTATGCTTTTTTTTCACAATAAATAAATATTTTATAATATATGTTATAATATACGGTTTAATAACACAAATTAATTAAATTAGTTTAAAGCAATTGCTATTCTTTTTGATAGTTTTTTGTTTCATTCTAATTTATCGTTTCAACATTTAATATAATAAATATTTCTTTTTAATCAGATATTCTAATGCAATTTTTTTCATTTTGATTTATAGATTAAAAATTTCCCCAAATTTAACAATATTGTAATATTATAATTGCTATTTAAACGCATGAGATTTACTATAAATTATATTAAATTTCCTATTAAATTTACGTTAAACGAATATATTTATCGAATTGCAAAAATTCTTGTGAAAATTAAATTGGAAATTTAATTGAAAAAAAGATATTGAAAGTCATAGATATATATCTTCATATTATTTTCTTATATATATATACACTGTATATCTGCTGAGAGTACATTTTTCTCCTCTATGGATAGTGGAGGGAATATAGTGCCATCGTAAAATCAGTAGGGGTATCAAAAGATACATACAGTTTGAAATAAAAAATCTGAGAAATAGATAGGATTTAAGGTGGTTCTATATATCTTCTTTATTTTGTTGTCTTCGATGCAATATATCCTTACAATATATTAGAATTTTGTTTTTTTTTTTTTTTTGATATAATTTTTCATTTTCTTACTAATTTAAAAGGCCATCAATCATGCTGCCAATCATATCAAAATTTTCAATCAATTTTATATGATCCATCTTAAAAATCAAATTCACCACTTTTGTCAAGATTAATTGTTAAATTTCTTATAAGAAAGTTAATCATTAAATATCTCTAAATTGTATCTTAGGGAAATATCTTCTGAATATTGTCGATATTTATAATATCATTTCAATAAACGACAATAAAATCGTGTTACAAAATTTCCCTTATATATCAAATGTTAACTATTTAAAATTTCCTTGTGTTAAGCGATTTAAAAGAAACCACGTTCATTTGTGTACTAATCTAAAAAACTATCAAAAATTAATTTTTAAAATTTTCCTTTTACACGAGAAAGAAAGGATAAATCTCAATATCAAAAAATAGGGATTGTAATTCAAAAAACTCCTTTTATATACTCTTTTACGACGAGACAAACCGTGTTATTCGTCTTTTCAAATTTCTTAAATATAACTTTATCCATAATACAATCCATTCGACTATTGAATAAAAAAGAAGATGACGGTGAAAAAAAAATTCGAGAAACAATTCGAACCAATTCGAACCCTTTCCCATTCCACGTTCATCATCGAGACGACTCGGAGCGTGCTTGTTGGCACACCCTGTGTGTACGGTGCGTTGATCGGGTGGCTCGTTGCACGCATGCCCGGTTACCTCTGTCCGGAAGCCTCGCCACCGTGGAGAAAACGATGCTTTCGAAAAAGAGGTCCCCCACTTTCGGCCGAGCAGTCTTCGACTGATCCTCGACCGAGAAAGGTCGTCGTTGATCCGTTGGCGCGCGCGCGTTATCAATCGAACACATTGTGCGTGTGCCCGTGCCCTCCCTTCCCCCTTCAACGAGTATCCATCGTCACCATTTGCCACCCTCTCCGTCCCTCCCGCTCGGTTGATCTCGCCGAATTTCACCCCCGCATTTCCTATTCTTTTCCTTTTTTTTTTTTCCCCCCCCTAACCGGAGGTCAAAGACAAAGAAGCCTCAACCCTCTCTTCTCTTTCGCGCGAGTTCGATGTTCTTCCGGTTCAACGATTCCTCGGTGATACATCTTCCTTGGGACGGTATGCTGCGTCGTCTTCTTGGATCCGCTCTTATTCCGTCGTTTCGTGGTTTGTTTTCGTTTCGCGCCACGTAGACCCTCCTCCTTTTCCTCCCTCCCTCCCTTCCTTCCCGTGGCTTTTCTCGCCCTTATGGCCCTTTGATGTTTGGTGGTTCTTTTTTTTTTTGGTGGAAGGATGAGTGAATAGAGAGAGAGAAAGAGAGAGAGAAAGAGAGAGAGAGATAGAGAGATAGAGAGAGAGTGAGAGAAAGAGAGAAAACCGTGACCAGGTATTTACACTATGAAGCTGAGTGAGGCCGCCATCCGTGGGATTCCGTGAAATCTTGGTATGGTACGTGTTTTTGTTTTTTTTTCTTCTTGTTAAGTTTAGTCCTTGGGTCCTTTTCGTTGGACTTTTGCGCTGGAATTCATTATCGGGAGTGGTTGGTGCGCATATCGTGTTTTTGTTTTTTGGGTCGTGTGATTTGCGAGTATGTATGTTGTGTAAATAATATTGGAACTGTTGATTTGCGTAATATTTAAATCTATGGTACGAATAATTGCGACGAATTAGAATTGCGACGAATTAGAATTGCGACGAAGCGTATTTAAATATTCATTTTAGTTAGTTAGGTTAAATTTAATTTTATTTCTAGAATTATTAATCTTATGATTTTTCGCGTGAAATAGACAAAATAGACAAATAGTTAGTCGATCGTTTCCAACAATGAGAAATATATTGGAAGTGTTGGAAATACGGTTCTTCTTCATTCTCTTAGATTATTATAGCTATCGTTATTTGTAATAAAACATATCGAAATATCTGGTATATTTAAATTAAAATAGTTAGAAATATAGTATATAGTATTGTAGATTTTTTAAAGTTTAAGCTTCGATATTTTTAATTTGTTCTTTTTCCCCTATTATAATAATCTGTACTGTGTCAGAGTAAATTTAATGAATAGTGTATAATTCTAAATATAAGTTATCAACGTTTATCTTAATTTAATATATCTTTATGTATAGAATCAACGCTATATAAAAAAGTTGATAAACTTGGAAATTATTAAATTTGCAAATTCACAATTAATTTAAAAAAATAGAAAAAAATAAAATTCTTGTACATTCGAGTATATTGCTCTCATTTACAAATAGTAAAGTGATGAACAGATTATTTCTTTATATTCATCGCGTGTAAAATTAGTCGCAAGGGACGTATGAGGATCAAAATAGGTTTATGATACGATCTTGATAAAATGCGTAAATATATAATTTAATTTACTTTATAATAAACACAATCATAAACACATCAATTTTTGTTATTAATTTTTTTTTATATATATTCTAAATCGATTAAATTTTCAATTAATTTTTAGATGGTAGCTGTTTTATATACATCATTTTATATTTTATATATCTATACATTAATAAATTAATAGTAAAGATAAAAGTGACATCCATGAGATAAAGTATACAATAGGAAGGTATTAACATGGTTGATAAATATTCATTATTATACGTGTTAACAATTTGATAAAATTCATTCCTTTATTTTCTCCATTGTATACTTTTCATTTAAACAAATTCACGTACTTGATAAATTTCTCGATTTTTAAATTAAATTTCGTAATGGCGAAATTCGTTCATCCTTTCATTCAAGCGTGAATAAACGTCACATAAAAATGACCTCAATAATGGTCAATGATTTAATTATTAATACCACTTCGTTAGATTCGATTAAGCATTCAAATCCTGATTAAGTCATTGTCGTGTATTTGTAGTACGTGCACGTTGCCCGCCTCATTCATGAATGATAGATTAACGATCAGTTTTCGGTAAAATGTGTGGGAATTTAATTCGAAGGCAATCTTTAAAATATGGAACCGTTGTTTCCGTTAAAAATCTGAAATAATTCGAAATCTATAATGCAAATATTCATATCCGTTATTTCTATTGAAAAAAAAAAAATCGGATTATATAAAAAAGAAATATATTCGTATAAAATATTTCGATAATAGTTCATTCATAATTGTCCATTGCTTTTTCTTTTTCTTCTTTTTTTTTTTTTTTTTTTTTTTTTTTTTTTTTTTTAAGTAGAATTAT